CCCAACCTTCCTTCCGAGGAGTGGCTGGTGGGTTTGAACCGCCAGCTGTCTGGTTAGCAGGCAAGTGCCTTAGGCACTATGCTACCAGAGCTCCTTTGGAATGGATACAAGGTACTAAAAAAAGCATAGGCTATTATCCCAATGAATATGGAGGCAGCAGGGAGCTCTGGTAGCATAGTGTCTAAGGCATTTGACTGCTAACCAGAAGGCTGGTGGTTTAAACCCACCAGCCACACCTCGGAAACCCAAGGAGGGGTCATTATGAGTCAGGCTGACTCGACAGCACATAACAACAATATGGAGGCAGCAAGTCGGAAGGCCCTCATTTTAGAAACTTAACCAACTAAAACCAAAAACCAAACTTACTGCCATTAAGTCAATTCCTACTCGTAGTGACCCCCTTTGGGTTTCCAAGGTGGTAAATCTTTACAGAAGTAGTTGCCCAGTCTTTTTTCTGCAGAGTGGCTGGTGGGTTTGAACCACCAGCCTTCTGGTTAGCAGTCAAATGCCTTAAGCACTACACCACCAGAGGTCCTTAACCAACTAAAGAGTTTGGGAAATTTAGACCTTATTGGCATAACATAGTCCACAAAGAAAGCATTCTATATCCTACTTTGGTGAGTAGTGACTGGGGTCTTAAAAGCTTATGCGTGTCCATGAAAGGTTTAAGAACTGGTATCTCCCTGTCTGGAACAAAGAAGAGTGAAGAAAATCAAACCACTATGGAAACAGTTAGTCCAAAGGACTATGTGAACCTCAGCCTCCATGACCCTGAGACCAGAAGAACCAGATGGTGTCAAGCTATCACTGCTGACCACTCTGAAAGGAATCACAGTAGGTCCACAATAGGACAAAGTGGGATAAAAATGTGGAACAAAACCCAAATTAATTTAAAAAAAAAAAAAAAGACCAGGCTTACTGGTCAGATAGAGACTGATAGAATCCATGAGACTGTGGCCTGTAGTCACCCTTGGAAAACTGGAACCGAACTCCTCCATGGCTCAGTTTTCAGTCAAACTATAGACAGATCAACAAAGGTGAAGAATAACACTAAGGAGGTATGCACTCCTTAGAATAATCAACCATTTGAGATCAAAGTTCAGAAGGCTGGAAGGGTTAAGAAAGAAGGAGGAATGGAAATGAGAAACACAGAGAGGAAATGGGAGGATTGCAATCAATGACATGGAACAAAATGTGAATGAATTATTGAATGGAAAACTGATTACCTCTGTAAACTTTCACCCAAATCATGATAAAATGTTAAAAAAAAAAAAAGTGTACGTGAAATTTCTCTTTCAAGAGAAGTAGCCCTCAGACCTAGATTTGTAATTCTGCACCACAGTCATCTGCTCTGAAACCTGTCGCCTGAGGGGCTCAGATTCATTCTGAAATAAACAAATGTAAATGAGAACAGTTCAGAAAGGACTGCTTACCTGGATCGTGAGGCATGGTCGGCTAATGGCGATGTCTTCCTGAGCAAAGCAGGTGAGTCCGGACTCCAAGTGTGTTGCCATGGCAGTCAGTCTGAGGAAGGTGTTCTCAGGTGGGTTTTGCTCAAAATAGGAGAAGGACAGGCTGGTGGTTATTCTCCTAACTGAAACACATAACAGGCAAAGACAGTGTAAAGTGGTAAGGATGTATCCTAGAAACAAGCAGTGGTTACATGCACAGCAAAAGGAGTTAGGGTCTCAATGAGCCAGAAAGATGCCTCATTCCCCACAACAATTTCAAACTTTGAACTCACTAAAGACCTGACCATCCACAACCACCACCATCTCCTCCAACACACCCTCAGGGGGCTTGTGGAAAGGTCCCTGTGCACTAGAACAAGTTAACCTCTTTTGGCCTCAGTTTTCTCCTGTGATAATAATGCCTGCCTCATGAAATGGCTTGTGTTAAATGAGATATTGCAAATGAAGAGCTCATCTTGGAACATACCACACAGCAGTTGCTGAATATATGCCTATTTATTTCCTTCCCATTCTCTGCCCTTTCTCTTTGACTCTTACAGAAGAAAATGAAGCCATCAGTCAGAATCCTCTTAAGCTCATATTCCCATTCCCAACCTACATCTATAGATATACCCCTGCTGTCACCCCTTCACCCCCAGGGATGAGATGTCCTTCCTGCCCAAGTTGGATCTTTTGTTTAAATCTGTGCCCTATCCTGACCCCACTACTAACTATCTGTGTATTGGTCAAATTATTTAACCTCTCTGGGTCTCAGTCTCCTCATGTGTAAAATGGCAATAACAGTGGTTCTAGCCTCAGGCTGAGGATTAATTCGATAATGAATATAAAACACTTAACACCATTTTTGGCAAATAGTAAGTGCACAGTAATTGTAAACTATAATTATTCTACTTTTGTTTCCCTGGGGACTGTATCATCAATTACAATCTCTCTTGAGTCTTCAGTCTGTCTATCTGCTGATGAATCAGCATGTAAGCAGAGACAGTTCTCTGTCATCTTAGAAGAAAAAAATGTATGTATTTAGGACCTTCCATCTACCCAGTGTCCCTGGCTGGCCAACCCCCACCATCTCTTCTTTTCTCACCCATGCTTTCAGAAGGACTGCACACCTTGTCTCACTCTTATTTGGTCTAACCCCTGGGAAGCTGGTCTTCACTGTTTCTTATTAGAAAGGCTGCTGTCTCAGCTACTGAATGCAGCGGATGTTTTTTAACCCTTACATCTCATGACCTCTCTGCTGACCTTGCTGGGTGCCCCCTCCCTCTCTTTGCCTTCTCAGTCTCCTTTATCTCAGCTCTTTCTCTGTTTGTCTTCTAATGCCTTGTTCCGTCCCCACCCCCTCTTTTACACTTCTACCCCCATGAGCTCATCGATGCCCTGACTCTTGGCTGTCCTCTATGCTGGACCTCCCACATCTGATCTCCAGCCCAGGCTTTTATCTTGAACACCAGGTCTAGGTTTCCAGCTGCCCATTAGGTGCTGTGCTTCACGGTTCCATGGTCTTTCAAACTCAACATACCCCAAACCAAATTCATCATCTTTCTTCCCAAACCTGCTCCTTCTCATTTTCCCTATTCTAGTGATTCACCAAAACTGAAATTATGTGAAGGCATGCATACACACACACACACACCCATTCATTAGTTCACTATTAGAATCTCTCTCACCTCAAAATCTTAATTCTATGTGCTGCTAATTAGTTTGGTCTTCATTTCCTGACTAATAACACAAAACCCTCCAATTGGCCTCTTTCCTCTAATCCAGTGGTTCTCAACATTGGATGCACATTAGAATAATATGTTGTTGTTGTTGTGTTGTTACGTGCTGTTGAGTCGGATCCGACTCACAGTGACCCCTCCTTGGGTTTCCTAGGCAGTATCACTACAGAAGTAGATTGTCCAGCCTTCCTTCCGAGGAGTGGCTGATGGATTTGAACTGCCAGCCTTCTGATTAGCAGTCAAGTGCCTTAGGCACTATGCTACCAGAGCTCCTATTAAGGAAGCTTTATAAAACAATTTCAATGGCAGGCCACACCCTAAATCAATTATATTGGATGATGGTGGTAAGGCTCAAGCATCACTATTTTTAAATTTCCCCAGGCAATTCTCCAGCAGCCAAGTTTGAGAGCCACTGCTCTAATAGGACCCTTTCCATTCCATTATGCTAATCTTTCTTTTTAAAATGGATTTCTAATCACATGGACTCACCTGCTTAAAAACCTTTCAACACTGGCTAGAGAACAAAACTCAAATGCCTTAGCATGATATATAAGACCTTACATGATGAAATGCATTGAATGGTGGCCCTCCCAAAATATATGCTGTAAATCCTAATCCCTATACCTGTGGTTAAGGAGTCCTGGTGGTACAATGGTTAAGTGCTTGGCTGATAATCAAAATGTCACTGGTTCAAATCCATCAGTGGTACTGTGGGAGAAAAGACCTGGCAGTAAAGATTACAGCCTAGGAAACCCTATGTGGCAATTCTGTTCTGTCCTATAGGGTTGACATGAGTTGAAATGGATTCAATAGCACACAAAAACAATAACAATACTTGTGGTTATAATCCCATTTGGAAATGGGTTTTGTTAGGTTAATGAGGCAGTATTAGTGTAGGGTGTGTTTTTAAATCAACAGAAACTGGAAAGAAACCAGGACCTTCCTAGACCAAGAGAGAAAGCCTTCCCCTACAGACAGCACCCCAAATTCAAACTTCTAGCCTCCAAACTGAAAAAATAAATTGCTGTTTGGTAAAGCCACCCACCTGTATTTCTGTTATAGCAGCACTAGATAACTGAGATACATGATCTGGCCCCTGTCTAGCTCCCACACCACTACCCCCACCCACTCCTCCCATCATCGGAAAGGGTTCAATGATTGAGAGACTCGAGGCAGAAAAGCTCTAATCCACTGATCCTCAAACTTGCCTGCACCTTGGAACTACCTGAGGGGTTTTAAAATTTCTGATGCTTGGGTCTCACCACAGAGTTTCTGATGTAATTGGTCTGGGATGCAGCCTGGGCATCAAACTTCCCCAAGTGATTCTAATGTGCAGTAAAGTTTGGAACAACTGCTGTAGTCCAGAGAATCTCAACTCTAGAATATCCTAGGGAATTAAAACAGTGCCTGGACCTTATCTCAGACCAATTAAATTAGAAACTCAGGGAGTAGGGGGGACCCTTTGCACATATTGTTCCATCTGTCCAGAATGCCTATGACCCACATTTCTGTCTGTCACTCACCTGCTCATCCTTCAGGACCCAGTTCAGGTACAATTTATTTGGGGGCAGCCAGTTCCAGCCTGGGTCAGATGTTCCCGTCTTGTACCCTGTGTTTACCAAACACTTTTTATACCATTATCATGTCTGTTTACATATCTGACTCCCATCTGAATGATTCGAATCCACCAGCCACTCCAGGAGAAAAAGATGAGGCAGTCTGCTTCCATGAAGATTTACACCCTTGGAAACCCTATGGGGCAGTTCCACTCTGTCTTAAAAGGTCACTATGTGTTAGAATCAACTAGATGACGGTGTTTTTTTTTTTTTTTCCTGGTGAAAAGCCCAATAAATATGCGTTGAATGACTGAATTAGACAGAGAAAGAGAGAAAGCAGACGTGCATGTGCCAGGGGGAAAGCCATCTTGGGAGACCTGTAGGGGGTGCCCTGTATGTAGGGAGTGTCTGGTGAGGCAAGAGATCTTTACCCAGGTTGGCGCTGAGTGTGAGGTGCAGCTTCTCCCTCCAGAGCTTGGCAGCAAGGAGACCATTGTAGTACACTGCCTGGACCCCAATTGTGAGCTGTACTCTCTTCTCCTGGTCAGTAGGGTTAACCAGGGTCACAGAGAGCTGGGCATCCCTTCGCAGAGGCAGGGAGCTGGGTGCTTCCAAAAACAGGTACAAAGGATCTGCAATCTCAAGACTGGGAAGATGGATGCTGTTGCCTTTCCCGTGTTCCATTCTCTCTTTCTGGACTTTCTCCAGCACCTCTTTTTCTTGAGGAGATCCTGAAGAATGGAAGAAATAAAACAAAAAAATCTCAGGTATGTTGTTATTGGGTGCTGTGGGTTGATTCTGACTTATAGCAACCCCATGTGACAAAGTAGAACTGCCCTATAGGGCTTCTTGGCTATGATCTTTACAGGAGCAGATTGCCAGGTCTTTCTTCTGTGGAGCTGTGTGGGTTCAAACCACTGACCTTCTGGTTAGCAGCCAAGCACTTAACCACTGTGCCACCTGAGCCCTTTCCCTAGTACGCATGTTGTTGGTGTTGTTATGTGCCGTCGAGTTGGACCCAACTCATAGCGACCTCTCCTTGGGTTTCCAAGGCAGTATCACTACAGAAGTAGATTGCCCCATCTTCCTTCCAAGGAGTGGTTGGTGGGTTTGAACCGCCAGCCTTCTGGTTAGCAAGTAGGCATAGACCCTTCTAATAAAAGCCCAAGATTAAAAACCATTAACCCACTTCCACTCAAATGCCCAAGTCACAAGAGCTTTGCAAACCTCTAAGGCTGTATTTAAGGAGCTCTGATGACGTAGTGGGTAAGACATTTGGCTGCTAACCTGAAGGTCAGAGGTTCAAACCCACCAGCTGCTCTGAGGGAGAAAGATGAGGAATCTACTCCCATAAAGATTTAAAGCCTTGGAAACCCAGTGGGGGTTGCTGAGAACTGACTCTGTGGCAGTTGGTTTTAATAATATACTTAAAGGGGTTGGATGGTTGAAGGCTGTATGATCTGTGTTAAGCATCTCCCCCACAGATAACAATATGTTTTTTCAAGTCATTCAAGGGCCATATTCTTCAAGTGCTAGTAAATATGCCCCTTGAACTATGAGTGAGCAAGCTTTTGGACAAGTCAACACTGTCTCCAAAGATGGTTTTGGAGGGAATTGAATCTTCCTTTGTGTAGGACAGTTTGTAATTTATTCTATGGGTATTGGGGCCCATGAAATATGCTGAAGCAGTGGAGTAACATATTTGTCTAGAAAGCTCATTCTGGAACCTGGAAAGAGAGCAATAATGGAGAGACCAGAAATGGGGACTAGTTAGGAGGTTATTGCAATATGAGGACAAAGGATGATGAGCCCTGGATGCTGCTAAACATCCTAAAATACACAGGTCGGGCCCCACAACAAAAAGTCATCTGGCCAAAAATGACAATTGTGTCAAAGTTGAGAAACTCTGATATACATGATGGAGAGAAGGTCAGGACTCTCTGGCCTGCATTTGTCTGGCCTGTCCCTTCCCTCTTTTGCTATTCCAGGTACTAGGAAGCCTGAGGCCCTTCCCTGCCCAGTACCTTCAGGATACTTGTAGTTCTGAGTGATGTCCTCACAGTGGTCACTGCCCACACCCTTGGTGCTGATGTTGTTGCCAACATACTTGGTGTTGGAGCCAGTCAGCTCCAGTGTCCCATCGTCACGGTACTTCCAGACCACACAGATGGCGTTCACAGCAGCAAAAAGGTCTGAAACTGCAGGAGTCAGCTTCAGTGTCCCCTCCTTGACTGCTCTGACTGGGACCAGGTCACAGGCCTCCAGAACTGGAAGAGAGAATTGTTGATGAGTAAGAGGAGCCACACTCTGACTTCTGCTGGGGTCAGGGCTGCATAACCTCAGTCTCTTCCCTATACCCTATTTTCCCTCTCCTGGGACCAGGTCAAAGGTAAGCAGTGGGCCAAGTTTCTGAAAGGGCACCACAGAGGTAAAATCCATAACTGTTTAGTAATAATATTTGTGGGTCATGGCTGTGGCAGAAGGCCTCTCAGAAACTGGACAGGTATAACCTCAGAGGAACTACGTACATAGAAGTTCCCAAGCCATCTTTGCTACCGATATGATTGGAATAAAACCAGTTGCTGTCAAGATGATTCCAACTCATGAGGACCCTATGTGTGTCAGAGTAGAACTATACTCTGTGGCATTTTCAATGGTTGATTTTTCAGAAGTAGCTCACCAGGCTTTTCTTCCAAGGTACCTCTGAATGGATTTGAACCTCCAACCTTTTGGTCAGCAGCAAAGCATATTAACCATTTGCACCACCCAGGGGACCATATGTTAGGAATGTTGTTATTAGGTGCCGTTGAGTCAGCTCTGACTCATAGTGACCCTATGTACAATAGAAAGAAATACTGCCTGGCCCTGCACTACCCTCACCATCCTTGCTATGCTGATCGTTGCAGCCACTGTGTTAGTTCATCTTGTTGAAGGTCCTCCCCTTTTTCACTGACCCTCTACTTTAGTAAACATGATATCCTCTTCAGGGACTGGTCTCTCCTAACAACATGACCAAAGTAGGTGAGACGAAGTCTGGCCATGCTCACTTCTAAGGATTATTCCAGCTGTACTTCTTCCAGGATAGATAGGAACAGTTCACCTTTATTTGTGCCAGGCTTTGTGCCAGTTCTTTTCTGGGTGAGGAAGAGCTATCTTTTTATGGCTCCCAGAGATTCCTTCTCTGAGCCTCAGCCTATCCTGATACCCCTTTCACCCAAAGTCCCCAGAATCCCCACCCTTAGAAGCCCCAGACTCAACACATCCACCAGCATCTTAAGACCCTCTGTCCTTCATTGAGAATCAACTCCCTGCCCTGTTCATTTAGCGGGGCCTAGCCTCTCTATAGCCCTGATACTTTTGTTCCCTAAAGCCTGCTGGTATCATCAGGTTAGCATTCTATGGGCCACTATCATTCATTCTGCTTCTCCTGTTTTAGAAGATATAGATGGCCTTTGTAGCACCCCCTGCTCCATTTCCTTCCCAAGGGACTCCTTTAGCTCTTGGTCCTTCTGAAGAGCAGAAAGGACACAGGGACTCTGAGCCACATGAGCTCAATGAGACTGTCAGCTCCGCTGACACTTTGGGTTTGGTCCAATGACTCATCATTCATGACTTTCAGATGCTATATATGATATTATGGTCATCATATTTTATAAGATCTGCACACATGGTGAGGTCTGTGCAGCCTTCTATCCTGGTCCCATCCCCAGGCTTTACCTCTTCCTCCTTTAGGAAGCCTTGGGTATAGAATCTGCCATCCACCATAACCTTGGGGCAGAGCAGGCCGGGCCATCCAGCACTCTGTAGAAGTCTGGAAGATCCTAAAAGTAGCAAAGGGAAAAACTCAAGCAGGAGAAAAGAGTCCTGAAGAAGCTCTAGAAATGCAGCCTAGGCAGAACTGTTGTTGCTATGGGGATGGGAGGATGCTGTGTGAAATGGCTTCAAAAGTCCCAGGGAGGCCATCAGCATCCTGCCTCTAAGAGTCTTGAAAGCCTATTCTCAGTGGTAGTTGGGTTGTGGGGGTTCCTGTGAGGTTCACCACATGGATTTGGAGCCCTTCCTGGTCTGGGACCTCACCCCTTTGGGCTTCTCACCAGATTCTGCCTCTCTGGCCTTCTCCGTTCTGAAGCCCCTCCTCATTGTAGAACTCATCTACAAGCAGTTCCCCGCCAGTGCCCTGGGCTGAGCCAAATGTGGTAACGACGCGGGCAGGGATTCCCAGGCAGCGCAGCACTACACAGAAGAGAGGTAGAGTGTCAGGGAGTGCCACAGAGGCCTGGGGTGGGGGCAGTTTGTAAACCTAGAATTTTCAGGCCCTCCCCTGGGTAGACCCTATCTTAAATGACAGGTGACACTGTAGAAAGAGGAGGGGTCCAGATTTCAGGAAGTTAGAACTCAATACCCCCAAAAGCCTCCCAAAATAGGACATATAATGGGCTGATAAATAAGGTATAAACAAGTGATCAGCAACACAGAGTATACAGCAGGAAGAGAATTACAGAATATATAACAGAGCACTGGTGGCTTACTGTGTTGGGACAGGTGAAGGGAAGTTTCAGAGAAAAATTGAGTTTGGAAGCAGGGTTTGCCAGATGGGCCTAACTCAACTAAAGGGAAAAGGAGTAGAAGCTGGTTGGGAGGAGCTGCCTGGGACAAGCATCTGGCTTCTTGGCCAGATGGTGTGTCTGAATCAGTTATGGCTGTGATGAAGGTGGGTAAGGGTTGCAGAGTAGAGGCTGTGCCTACTTTTTGGAGGAGCTGTTTCTCCCAAAAGGGAGAACCTGAGAAACAGGGCAGACACTCTGGACAGTAGCCAAGGTGACCTGTGGGTATGGAAGGCAGGCCTGCTCCATACCTGTGCAAGCCACAGCAGCAAACATCCAGGCCTGACCTTCATACACAGGTTGCCCTTGGCCTGTGAGCCACTGCTGGAGGATGGGTACACTGCCCCGGTGCTTGGTCAGCAACTCCCTTTCCTGGGTGACCTGAGTCTGCAGGGTGGGCAGGACACTCTTCTCCATGAGAGCATGTAGCTGTTGGGGAAGTGCATGGATGTTAATGTGAGTCCCATGGACAGGACAGCTTCCTGGTGATTCTCCAGGTACAATGCATATATCACCTGCATCAGAACTACCTGGTACTTGCGAAACCTGCATGTTCCTAGGCTCCACCCTAAATCCACTGGGTTATAATCTCTAGTGGTGGTCCAGGAATCCTCCTTTTTAACAAATCCTCCAGTAGGGGTTTGAGCCACAACTTGGCCAACAAAGCTCAAGCCATGAAAAGGAGAGTGAGAGTGTCCCTCCTTCTCCCATTATGAGCTGGTCTGATGGGTTCTTAACTTCCTCAGCTCTGGTTCCTTTGAGGCTATTTGCAGCTGGGTCTTGAAGCCCCACTTAGGCTCAGCTTCCCCTACCTCACAGGCCAGCCTTGGACCTCATCACCTCTTTGAGGGAAGTCTAGAGCTTCCATTCCAGGGAAATGGGGACATGTGACTCCTGTGAAAGGACTTTTAGAGGCAGTGGGAAACCACCAAGCTACTTTCATGATCTGGATATTCCTGGGAATAACTTAGAAATAAAACATCCCTTTGACCACTTTAGCAGCAAACACTGGGTAAAATGGACCCTACCTCTCCCTCCCAGATTAGGGCTGTGGGAGGGAAGAGTCCTCTGAGGAGATCAAGACCAATTTTAACCGTTGGCTTTTGTCTTCTACCCAATCCTGAAGGATGATACCTCCATTTGCTTTTTTTGGGCCTGTGGGTGCTATAAAAAAAGGAGTCCCTAAGTGGCACAGTTAAGCCCTCAACTATTAACCAAAAGGTTGTAGTTCCAACCCACCTTGGAAGAAAGTCTGGGTGACCTGCTTCTGAAAGTTTATACTCTTTAAAACCCTATGGAGCCATTCTACTCCGTACACGTGGGATCGCAATGAGTCAGAATTAACTCAACAGCCATTGGTTTTCTGGCTGGTGGATGCCATTGTCTGTCCTTCCCCCATCCTTACTCAGACCCTTCTTTAGGAACTGTCTCCCACACCCCAGGAGGAGAGGTCCATTTGTGATTTTAATATTTCCAGATCCATCAAGGTAGAGCAGACCCATGGGAAGTTTTTGTCTCATTTCCTCCCCACTTTGGCCTCCCTCCACCTTTTACTCACCAAGGCACCCAGTACCCGGGCCACATGCATGGGGTTGTTCCACTCTTCCATCTGCTTGTCCATGCCCAGCAAGCTTAAGCTGAGATTGATGACATCCCCCTCAAACTGTAAGGACCAAACAGAGTCATGATGAAGGGTCTCTGTGTCAGGGACTCACCCCACAAGATAGCCTTGTCATCTTGTCCTTCTCCTAGACTCCACCCTTTCCTCCCTTACCTCCTGGTCCCACCCAGAGTTCCGCCTTTTCTCTCCCTCCCACTGTGCCCCCTGGTCCTTGGCCTTTTATGTCGTCTGACTCTCCCAGAAAGGTGTGAGCCCTTGAGGACCAGGGCTCTGTCCTTTCATTTCTATCATTCTACATTTAGTGAGCTCGTGATGCTCCTGCCAGGATGCAAAGACAGCTCTTAATCATGTTGTTGTTAGGTGGCACCAAGTTGGCTCTGACTCATAGCAATCCTATGTACAACAAAAGGAAATACCACCCAGTCCTTCACCATCCTCACAATCCTTGCCATGCTTGAGCCGATTGTGACAATCACTGTGTCCATCCATCTCACTGAGGGTCTTCCTCTTTTTTGCTGACCCTCCATCATTTCTAAGAATGATATCCTTCTCCAGCAACTGGTCCTTCTGACAACATGACCAAAGTAGGTAAGATGAAGTCTGGCCATTCTTGCTTCTAAGGAGCAATTGGGCTGCACTTCTTCCAGGACAGATTTGTTCATTCTTCTGGCAGTCCATGGTATTTTCATTTTTCTTTCCAACATCACAATTCAAAGGATGAATTCTTCTGCAGTCTTCCTTATTCATCATCCAGCTTTCACACAAATATAGAGCGACTGAAAATACTGTGGCTTGGGTTAGGCACACCTTAGTCTTCAAAGTGACAACTTGGCACTTCAGCACTTTAAAGAGGTCCATTGCAGCAGATCTGTCCAGTGTAATATGACTTCTGATTTCTTGACTGCTGCTTCCATGGTTGTTGATTGTGAATCTAAGTAAAATGAAATCTTGGACAACTTCAATCTTTTCTCCACTTATCATGATGTTGCTTATTGGTCCAGTTGTGAGGATTTTCATTTTACTTATATTGTGATATAATCCATACTGAACACTGTAGTCTTTGATCTTCATCAGTAAGTGCTTCAAGTCATCTTCATTTTCAGTAAGCAAGGTTGTGTCATCTCCGTATCACAGGCTGTTAATGAGTCTTCCTCCAGTCCTGATGCTGCATTCTTCTTCAGATAGTCCAGCTTCTTGCATACAGATTGAGTAAGTATGGTGCAAGGAAACAACCCTGATGAACACCATTCCTGATTTTAAACCACACAATATCCCCTTGTTCTGTTCAAATGATAGCATCTTGGACTATGTACAGGTTCCTCATGAGAACACTTAAGTGTTCTCGAATTCCCATTCTTCACAATATTACCATAATTTGTTATGATCCACACAGTCAAATGCCTTTGCACAATCAATAAAACACAAGTAAACATCTTTTTGGTGTTTTTTGCTCTCAACTAAGATCCATCTGACATCAGCAATGATGTCCCTTGTTCCATGTCCTCTTCTGAATCTGGCTTGAATTTCTGGCAGTTCCCTATCAATATACTGCTGCAACCATTTCTGAATTATCTTCAGCAAAATTTTACTTGTGTGTGATATTAATGATCCTAGAAGCCTAATCATAGAAGCCCATGGCTTAGAAGTGGAGATAACAGTGTTATGGATTAAATTGTGCCGTCCCAAAATATGTGTTGTAAATTCTAATGCCTCTGCTTGCGAATGTAATCTCATCTGGGAGTGGGATTTTCTTTTTATGTTAATAAGCCTAAATCAGCGTAGTGTGTGTTTTAAGCCAATCAATGTAGAGATTTAAAAGAGTGGCACACAGAAGCAAGGAACCACAAATGGAGAAAGTCTAATGTCACATGGAGCTCAAAAAGGAACCAAGGAAGAGAAGCTAAAAGACATAAGAATTTTCCTCCAGAGTGGACAGAAAGAGCATTCTCCTAGAGCTGGTCTCCTGAATTTAGACTTCTAGCTTCCTAAACTGTGAGAAAATAAATTTCTATTCCTAAAAGCCACCCACTTTTGGTATTTCTTTTATCAGCAGCACTAGATAATGAAAATAGACAGATATCATTCAAGTTATAGCGACATAGCAAGAGCTTTAGTAGCAATACCAACACAGAAGAGACAACACAGTTGCATTTTCCAGGGAATAAAGGAGAGAAAGCTCTTCCAGGCAAAGGGAACATTCACTTTGTGTGTTCAGGGGATGAGGAGGAGCTGGAGCAGGGGTGGCTCCTGGGGGAAGAAACACAATGTTCTGGTTGTAAAAGGCCTTGTGTGATAAACCAGGGGATTTGCTTTTATCCTTTAGGCAATGAGGATTTAACAAAGGTTTGATTTTCCTTGGTTTTTAGGAAACTCTGCAGCAAGGAACTCTAGTGGCTCAGTGGTTAATGCATTTGGCTACTAGTCAAAAGGTCAGTTGTTGGAACCCACCAGCGACTACATGGGAGAAAGATGAGGCAGTCTGCTTCCATGAAGATTTACAGCCTTGGAAGCCCTACAGGGCAGTTCTACTCTACCCTGAAGGTTTACTATGTGTTGGTATTGACTTGATGGCATTGGGTTTGGTTTCTTTGGTTTAACTCTGGCAGCCTTGAGGATGGTCTGATGGTGGCCTAAGGAAAGAGAAGCACTACAAGGCTAAAACTGGCTAAAGACCTTGAGACTAGGGGGGCTGGTGAACCTGCCAGCACTGGCCAGAAGACTGAAGGTAATAAGACAATCCCTGCCCTATCCCCAATCTGGAGGCTCCCAATACCTGGCCAAAGTTCCAGGGCTCCGTCTCGATGCAGTCAGCTGTACCCACGTAGATGAGGCCATTCTGGTTCAACAAATACTCCCTGCGTTGAGCCTCATTCTCCAGAAATACAGCATCCTCTAGTGAGAATCAGAATGGGATGAGGACCTTTGGGGTGCTAGGTCTGCCCTCCATATCCAGGCCTCTGCCCTCCCTGGCCAGCAGGTCAAATTTGGCTATAGGCCTCCACAGGCTGTGGGCCTGATGAACAATGAGGCAGAACTCCTCATTCTGGTACATTGGGACCCAGCCTCCTCACTGGTGGAGTGCTGGTGAAGGGATTAGAGTCTCCGAATCAAGCAAGGTATGACCCTCATGGTTAGATAGACAGAAAAAGCCAACTTCCAAAACCCAGTGGTTCCCAAGACATTTGCAACCAGAGTGCTGTCAGTCAAAGAGAGTATGTCAACAGCTCAGGGAGCTTCCCAGTGGGCCTATTATGTCTTTCCCACAAGTTCGATTTGTGACCGAAAAGAATGTTTCTGAGAACAATCAAACACAGGTTGATGGAGAGGTGGTTAGAAAGGAAGAGGGGCACTTGGCAAGACAGGGTTAAAGGGGGTGCTGGAGCTGGGCAAAGTGGAAGCCAGAGCACATGTTTCTGCTCTGGGGGTGTCCAAGTGGATTCATTACTACCATAGTCTATTGTCTCTTGCTTTCCTCATTCAGAGTAAGCTTGAGATCATGAATAAAATGGAGGTTTTTGAGGAAGACATCCCCCACTCGAGGAAGCAGGGAGCAGTTGGTGGGGAGGGAACTCTGCACTTGGTGGGTGGGTGGAGTGAGGGAGATTTAGATGGTTCCTGGGAATTAGAAAGGAAGAAGGATTCACAAACCACCCTGTGTAGCTGTTGGCTGCATCTCTCTCTCTGCCCTGCCCAGGTACTCTGCTGAGATGAAGATATTCATGGCAATAGAAGGTCGTTGTTGTTTTTAGGTGCATTGAGTCAGGTCCAACTCATAGTGATCCTGTTTACAACACAACAAAACACAGCCTGGTCGTGTGCCATCCTCATAATCCTTGCCATATTTGAGCCCATTGTTGTAGTCACTGTGTCAAGCCATCTTTTGAGAGTCTTCCCCTTTTTTGCCAACACTCCACTTTACCAAGCATGATATCAGGTCTTTCTTTCTAGTCCATCTTAGTCTGGAAACTCTGCTGAAACCTGTTTGGTATCATAGCAATATATGAGCCTCCACTGACAGATGGGTGATGACTGTGCATAAGGTACATTGGCAGGGAATCAAAACTAGGTCTCACCAAAATACGGAAAGTGAGAATTCTGCCACTGAGCCACCAATGCCCCCATAAATGGACATTAGTTCCCATCTGTTGTTCCACTGGCCTGCACCTTAGAGCAGGAAAGAAGGGCCTGAATTGAGGACAGGGAAGGCCATCTGAAGGAGGAAGAGAACTGGAGAACCTCATGCAAGAGAAGTGAAGAGATGAAAGCCACAGGGACTCAGGTACCAAAGAGAAAGAGAGTTAGGAATAGGACTCTTATTTTCTTTATATTACATGCATTTTCCTTTTCAGTTTGGGAGAGACCCATCTCTAAGAATGAACCTGGCCATAGGAATCTGGGAAGATTCCTTTTACTTTCCCCTGTTTGCTCCCTCTTCACAGGCCTGCCTTGGAATGAGGCTTCCTTCATGCCTGGCAGTGAAACTCTTTAAAAGTGTGGTGTGCTTATTTTCTGGGGTAGTGAGGGCAGGAAAACTTGGAGAAATGTTTTCCATTCCCCCAAACAACTCTTCAGGGAGCCCAAAGGATTAGGGCAGGTGGTGGCAGATTTAAAAAGGAAAGACTCAATCTTCAGAATGCAAAGATAGAGAAGGTGCCATACTGGGTCCTGTTTTGGACCAGTCAGTCACATCCAATGGCTTTTCTAGATAAAATAGTTCCAGCCACAGTTAGGGCTGTACTTGGCCAGAGGTGGCCACTGATTGGACCACAAGTCACCCCAGGGCAGCCCAATCATAGGCTGGCTGAGCTGTAGAGGGCTAGCCATGTAACTGGCTAGAAAAATAGATACACAAGCAAGTCAGTATGGACCTAGCAGTCTAATAAGAACAGAACAAACAGGTGGAGGGAAGCAGATATAGTGAAACAGGAAGACCTGGAGTGGATTTTCTGTGAAGCTGATGAAACTAAAGTTTCAGGGCCTCTCACTGCCATAGGCCCCTCAGACCCTGTGAAGAACCCTATTGTTACTAGTCACTGTTGAGTAGCCTTGCCTCAGGGTGATGCCATGTACAACAGAACAAAATGCTGCCCAGTCCTGTCTCATCCTCAAGACTAGGTGCAAATCCAGCTGTTGTGATCCACAGCGCTTTCACTGGCTGATTTTCAGAAGTAGATCACCAGACTTTTCTTCCTAGTCCATCTAAATCTAGAAGCTCCAGTGAAACCTGTTCAGCATCACCCAAGCCTCCACTGACAAATGGGTAGTGGCTGTGCATAAGATGCATTGGTCAGAAATTGAACCTGGGTCTCCCTAATGGAAGGAGCTCTGGTGGTGCATTGGTTAAGAACTTGGCTGCTAACCTATTAAGGTTGGCAGTTCAAACCTACCAGCCGCTCTGCAGAAGAAAGATGGACATCTTCTCCCATAAAGATTTTTACAGCTTTGGAAACCCTATGGAGCAGTTCTATTCTGTGTTATAGGGTCACTATGAGTCGGAATTGACTCAACAGCAACAGATGGGTTCTCCCGTATGGAAGGTGCGAATTCTACCACTGAACCACGAAGAAGCCCTAGTAATACAAAATTTTATATTCTTTTTCTTAAAGACCAAATCAAACTCACTGCCATTGAGTCAATTCTGACTCATAGTGACCCCTACAGGCTGCCTTCATTTCTAAAGAGCTTCTCAGTTCTTGCCCCTGTACTCTTACAATAGATTCTCTTCCCAAGAGTGATCTCAGTGAATCTCTATTATTCTGTGACCAAAATAGGTCGAGCCAGCACCAGGGTTTAATGATGAGATGAGGTTTTTCTCTCAGTGGGTAGTCCCAGGTTGCTTCTACCAAGAGAGACACCATTAAAAACCCTGGATCTGGGGACATCAAGCTCAACTGACATAACATACTACACAAAAACACTGTTCTACATCCTGCTTTGGTAGTGACGGGGGTCTTAAAAGCTTGCAAGTGGCCATCTAGATACAACGATAGGTCTCTCCTCATCCAGAGCAAAGAAGAATGAAGAAAACCAAAAACACATGGAAACAATTAGTGCAAGGGACTAGTAGACCATGTGATCCTCAGCCTATATGACCTTGAGACCAGAAGAACTAGATGGTGCCTGGCTACCACTGTCAACCACTCAGAAGGGGATCAGTACAGGAGATCCTGGATAGAATGGTAGAACAATGTGGAACAAAACTCAAAAATCATAAAAAAAAAAAAAAAGACCAGCTTTGCTAGTC